AATGCCATGGTAAAAGAATTGGAAAAGAAGCAAGAAGATGGATCAAGAAGTTGCAAAGTACAACTTGTAACCAGTTCTGAAAAAAGGTTTGGAATGCAAGATGTGAAAGGATGATAGAATGGAAATGATTACAAGGAATCCAAAAGAAGAATAAAATAAAAAGACTTCCTAACCTTTCAGGTACCAAAACTATATAGCTGGAAAGGAAAACTCCAATATTGAAAGAAGGAAAATTAGAAGATAAAGATCTAAAAGATATTTTATTAAGAGGGGTTAGATTTGGGATGAGATGGTTGGGTTTTGAGTAATGTCAGAACTTAAAGAGTGATTTGCAGTAGTGATCTGCAGGCAATGATATTAAGAGTTGAAAGAGTTTTTACTTGAACTTCTAATAGAGCGATAAATCACTTCCAAAGTTGCATTTAGAGTAGTAATTACAAAGACGAGTGAGCTAATTAGCATCTTTCTAGCTTTAGCAATTCATGTTATATGTACAGTTTACAAATATTTAATAAAGCACACATAATTAGCCTGATAGAGGATTAAAAAAAAAAAAAAAAAATTAATGTCATATCAAGGATATAATTATCTATGGTTAAGTTAATTCTTAATAAAGGCTCACATTTAATACCAGTTGCGATTTAAATAAAAAAAAAAAAATTAATGTCATATCAAGGATATAATTATCTAAGATTAAGTTAATTTTTAATAAAGGCTCACATCTAATACCAGTTGCAATTTAAATAAAAAAAAAAAAAATAATATATTATTTCTTTTAAAATAAATCATTCTTTTTGAAATTCAATAATTATTTTATATTAGTATACATATTATTATGATCAAGATTTCATTTTTGATATATATAATTTATTTAATAATTTCTTTTTTAAAAGTTTTTTGAAATACCAACATCTTATTAAAATATACTATCATATTATAATTTTATATTTTGTCATTTACTTTTTTTTTTTATCTATTTTTTAAGCAGATGAAATATTAATAGAACTTTGTATACATTGGTCTCTTGGAATTATATCAATAGATAGATAGTAAAGATATTGAAAACTATCAATATTCTTTATTGTAACTTAATAAATGATACAAGCTTAATTAGAAAAGTTGCTTTATTAATAAATATAATATTTTATATTAATTTCAATAAAGTTGTTTTGATTATTTTTATTAAAAAAAAAATTAAAATTAATATAAAATATTTTCATTTAATCATATATTTAGATGTTATTAGAGTTTTAAAAATAAAATTTTGAAATCTATTAATGCAATTAAAATTAAAAAAAAAAATCAAATAAGATTATAATTAATAGATTAGAAAAATTTTTTTATTATTCTTATATAGTCAAATATTGTAATTAACTTTTAATGAATTTGAATTGAAAACTGTTATTTAATAATATTGAACATTATCATTTATATTATGAATTTATGAATTAATATGTAAAGATTTTTAAAAATACTGTAAATTCAAAATTAGATATTAAATCCGAATTAGATACTAAAATTCAAAATAATATTTGAAGTACCTTAATAATTGATTAATATAAATATTTTCTATTAATATTCCTTTAAAATATCAATCAACCATTTTATTTTTAATTACAATCATTGCTTTGATTAATTAAAATTTTAATTTGAAAAATAGGATGTTTATAAATTTTTTGGGCAATATACTGTATATACAGTATATATATCGATTTATTTTATAAAATAGAAAGTTTACATTCACTATATACAGAAATTAATTTTTATTTTACGTATTGATCAAAATATTGATTTTTGCAATTTTAAAAAGTAACAAGGAACGTTACGCCGCATTCTTATCTAATTGCTTCGGTCAGTAGTACCGATTTCTTATACTGTAGATACAAACCTTTAATTGTGGTTATCTATAAAAGTTTCACATATCCATATGAAGGCACTCGAGTTATTTTTACCGTTTGATCTCTAAACGAGGAATCAGCACGCTCTTATAAAGTGTTTTTGAACACGTATGTGTATTTTCCGGATTTTCCGCAGTTTAAAATATCAAAATGTAGCATTGTGGTGTACCTTCTATTATCGCAATACACGATAGGTCGTCTAAAGGTACAGCTTTTCCCGAAGAAATTACCCACATATTTATGCCGAATAAGTAGATATCTGATTCAAAAACTTCAGGCGCTATATACAGTATGTCAAAATTCCGTAAACATCACTGCCCTCCACACTGTTCAAAAAACTGGTTTTTTTAAACTTTAAAATAGAATTTTACTGTATAATAAATTTATTAATAAATCCCAAATAAACTTTAATAAATAATTTTTTGCTAGAAAGTCTCGGTGAATAAGGTTTTTCGAATGAAGATCAAAGAAATACAGTAATAAATTCAACTTCCTTTTCCATTCCTTATGTGCCACGGAATTAAGATTTTCACGCAAACATCACTTCTGTGCATAATCCATAACAAGCATATAATCGCCCAAAGCACTGTTCCGTGATATCCCATAGCAACTTTATATTTATAAAACATCGATTAGAAATGTAAACGCGAAAGTTCTCAAGATTATTAATAAAATAGATTAGTTTTACTTACATTTTATACCACTCCAATTCCATTTCGATAAGAAACTGCGAGTATAAATGCCCTTCAGCATCACCCATCTCGGTCGATTTTCGATAATATTCCAGTGCTTCATGATCATTCTTTTCGACTCCAATTCCTTCACATTCCTCATATCAGCAGATTTTTGGTAATATTCGAATGCCTCATGTTCATCCTTTTCAACTCCTTTACCGCAAAGCCAACATTATGCGTCCCCATATCTCAGCAGATGTTCGAATGCCTTATGTTCATCCTTTTTAACTCCAGTTCCATCGAGATAGCACTCGCATCTCGGCTAATTTTCGATAGTGTTTGATGTGTGTTCCATATGTGTACCATCATCTCGACCACTTTTTGATAGTGCGTTTAACTCCAATTACATTAATACTTGAAAGTCATTTATTTCACTTTTCAAAACTTAATCAATTACAGCATATCATCATTTCTTCTATTTTATTTTAACATAAATCACACGACTATGAATTTAGAATACATTAAATTTGAGAAAAAAAAAAAAGAAAACCATGCTTTTAAACGAGATAAGGTGTTATTTTATTCGATGTTCCCGGGATATTCTTCATCGGAAAAATGTCAGTAATCCCCTTCTCCATCGACAAATTTTTTTATTTCCGAATCAATCTCCTTCAGCTTGCGTCTCTCATGTTTTAGAAGTATCGAATTCTCATATCGCTTCGTCATTCGAGCCTGATACGGGCTGCGCCACTCGAAGGGGTGACGAAGATTGTCTTGTTTAATTTTCTGCTTACTTTTATCGTCAGCCTTCTTTTGTTGATTTCGATTAAACTTTTGTCGGGAAATCATTGTGGTTTGCCTAGTTTTTCGGATCTCGAGGGTGCATACTTGTATGAAATTCCCTTCATTGTTTCCTTTTTAGGTCACTGGCTACTTGCATGAAATTCTCGTCATTATTTCTTTTTTAGGTCACAGATAACTTATTATTAAATAATCGTGAACAACGTTACTACAATTACAAGCCATTATCCGATACATGCGTTTTTCGAATATGAATTAAATCCCGTAGCCTTTACAATTTAGTGGGGAATATCATTTTAGGGACAATAAACATCGGATGTAAATCAAATGTGTAACACATTGCGATCATTTAATACATTATTTTTCAAATGTTTGATTTGCGGCAAACGGTGTCGACCAATTGATAGGCGTCTGAAATATTCAGAGGACGGTTTAGCATAAAGAAAGTTGACGATGGTCGAGGTTCTTATGCCACGGGTAATCCCGGGCCACAAGTTCCCAGATGATACGGTCCAACTCCACGCGTAATAACTAATACACAAATATTCACCTTGTGCTCGCACATAGACCATACAATAGGGATTCGCTGATGAACCCGTTGTGTCAGCAAAAACTTCTCTCCGGTCAACCTAATTGAATATTCGTTAAGAAAAAAAAAGATCATCATCAAAAAAAAAAAAATCAAACTCGCATCGATGTGGAAATAAGGATGATCACAGGTTATACAACCTCGGTCACATATGAATCATTGTATTTTAACCAACGACACTTTTTGAAATCATAAATATATATCCAATAATGACCAAACGTCGCTTGGCCTGAAGATTTACGTCAAATGAAATTAGTTGCCGAAATCAAATCAAACCAATCGATCGACAGAGTCGCTCACCGCTGTGTATAAATACTGCATGCAAGCGATATTCGCATTGCCTCAGATCAGCATACTGTTGCTCCAATTTAGACCTCAGTAAACCGATCCTATATTCGTGATCTGTAATTTTAAACGCGATTTACCGTCACCCTGAAATTTAAAAGGTTAAGGTTAAACGTAAAGTACAATCATAGATACCTCCAATCTTTGAATAAATTTGTTCACTTTCGCGCCTTATTTCCGACAATTGACGTTCGGAATTCTCATCCATTATGAATTCGGGATCATCGTATTTCATGGACTGAACAAACTTCACCGTGGATGTAAGCAAATCGGTAATGGGCAATGAGGTTTTCTACGTAAAAGGATGGTGCAAATTGATATGGTGGTTCGCGTGCCAAGATTTTTTTTTTTACTTTCGACCCTCCATGCTAACCTTATCACATGACAATGCCTTGAGCTCTTCTTGCAAAGAGTAGATTTCCTGTTTAAAAGAATGTGCTTCGGCAATTCTACTGCGTAACTGTTCTCGATTCGCGTCCAAGTATCTGTCAAGATATATCGTTTCTTCGAACCGAAGGTATGCATTGGATTTATAAATGTTTGAGGTAGATCTGTCGAACTGCACCCTCTGAGCGTTACGGAAATCAAGAATGTGAACCCATATCCATCCACCAACTCTTTGATTCAGGTACGAATAGTAAAGAAGGAAAAAAAAAATCACCTGCACTTGAATTTGTAGTATCGGCGGCGATGTCACAAGTGTGATTTCTCTTTCCGCCTGAGTTCCATTAAAGTCCACCTGACAAAGAAAAATAAACAAATAGATAAATATCGATTGTTCAGTACATCGTGATGCCACTGCAAAGAATCCTCGAGAAACGAGAGTCAAGCATTACGATAAATTCACCGTTGATGTGTCAAAATAAACGTCGAGTCCGTCATACAAGTCACGTCCTTCAGCAACAACAACCAAGTGGCATATCAAACGTTAAGGAGTCATATATGTTACATATCTATCTACCTATGTAATCTATTTCCCGCGGTCATGTCACCGCAACGCACTTGAAAAAAATTTTTTTAAACTTCTCCAAGAAAAGGATATTAAGTGATTGAAGGGTTCTTCCTTTACATTTTCCACAGTTGACCCGGTGTTTGGATCTTTGTAGCGGAGAATTTGTTTTGAATTTCCGTAGAACAAGCTAATTCACAGAATAAATGATTGCAAATCTTATTGACTTAGGATGTAATATCGTATGTTGTAAACGGTGCAGAGAACCATCAAGGATAAATAGAAACGAACCTTCTCACAATGTTTTGTTCGTTCACGTCCACCGTAGATTTCAAAGCAGCCTCCAGTTGAAACATAACGTTATCCATGCACTCTGCATAAGGAGAGTCCTACAAATTATCCAATTGTGTGCGTCCAATAAACGGAAAACTCTGAATTCTCACAAACCTGTAACGTCCTGTTGTTTGCCGAATAACATTCCGGATACTTTCTTTAATTTATCTTCCTTGTTATCACCATACATTTGCTCGTCCAAATGATTATTTTCCCTTTCCTTTCCTTTGTAGAAATTATTATCATCGTTCATAAATGTGTCTGCCGTTTGGAAGAATAGTTCCGTGCTTGCAGTGGGTAGAGCCGTTCCGGATATTATCACAGTCTCTGATTCATCCATTCCATTATTTAAGTCAATGAGATCCGTTGTTGATAACGGGTCAGTGGCGCGAGTTGATGAAGGACCCGGACTTGAATCATCAATCTGCATGTCAACGGAATTGACCGTCGTATCCATGGGGGACCTTGATGATGATTCTTTTGGATGTTCCTCGTCGTTTTTGGCATTCACGAGCGCCAAATAAGCTAAATCAGAATTTGGCGTGATGGATGTATGCGATGATTGTATCAAATCTTCAAAAAGATTGCGCAAAAGAGTGACGACTACACACGTGTCATAGGTTGATTGTGAAGGGGTTAGATAACGGTATCAATAAAGTGCGATCCATAGAACATCAATGAACCTTCAAAATAATAAATATTCATTATTCACATTTCCGGGCTCTTTCAACTTCAATTTTGGAGACCTTCCTTCCACCAATGGTCACGGTTTCCCCCCACAGATCCAACAAATCAGCGGACACCGAATCTGAGTGCAAGACCGCTTCCCGTAAATTTCGAATAGTGAAATAATACTGGAAAAAAAAAAAAAACTCAGTCAGATTCCCCGAGAATAATTCTCATCTGCCGTGTTTGTTCGTACCCACCTGTAACAACGAATTAAGATAACATGTGTTCCCAATATTATCCAATCCTAGGGGCCTGCATTAAGAGATGCTGAAATCAGTAATAGAAATAAATGATAAATCTCGTAATGCATTCAAACGTCTACTCACATGTCTGAGAAATAAAAATTATTCACTTATTCAAGAATAATAATCAAATTAGAGAATGAGGCTTAAAAAACATCTCAACAAAATCTCATTGAATATTATTCCTACCGTGGCGTGCTTCTTCCTCCCGTAGGAATTCCTGGATTTTCTGACTGCCCCTATATTTCCCAATTATGGTCAAAGCATCACGCTGATTCTTTCTTTTCAAAGGGTTCTCAGAAACCTGTGTAAAAAAGTTTATACGATCAGTAACCATTATGAGATCTCGAGGTTATATAAATATCTTGACACTTAAAGAAGAATGTAAACCATCATAATTACATGTGAATTATATGCTGAGATCAACATTTCATCATCAACGATTCTGTCACTTGACATTTCCTTATATGCATCATTGACATCACTCATGGTAAAATTACCTGATATTTCATTTTATTTCACAAAAATTGAAATAATGAGACTCCGAATGAAAACATTCAACAAAATGATGAGCACTATAAAATTCTGTCCCTATTTTTTTTTTATGTATTACCCTTGGAGTTCTCCATAGCCAATAATTCACCGAGCGTTTCGCTATTCTTGTCACTAAAGAGATCGAGCACGACCTGTAGATAATTGGGTGTTTTTTCGGGATTCTCAGAAGTAGCAAGTTTGTAGGCCCAAACTAGAATCCCATCATCCATATCTGATAAACATCCCAATGCCGAATAATTTGGCGACGGCTGGATTGATGAAGGATCAAATGTTCCAATATCATAGGTGGCGTATTGTTTTTTATCTTTTTTACGAGTTCCCAAAGTGTGATGTTAAGTCAAATGAGTTCATGAGATTTGATAATCATTTAGTGCCAAAAAACTTTATTGTTACAAGTACATTGTATCCCTAGAATTTTGCTCAATTTTGCCCATGGACGTATCTTTACTTTTTGATTCGAGAGTTCCAGTTCTATCATTAATTTTCAGGACGCAACTGATTAGTCTCGGTTAGTAGAAGTATTGTGATTTGCCCCAAAAGATTAATGAAAACAAAAAACGCCAGTAACTCACTAAAATCAAATTCTAATGATTGCAAATCTAATTCCTCGGACACGCGTTCGAATCGTGCGCGAGTCTCGTCGTTAAACGGAGGTGGTCTATACTCTACCTTTTCAGGCCCTTCTTCCATCGTATAACCAAGCTTTTGAAAAAAGGCCCAGCTAAAGGTGATAAACATTTATTAGCATATCGGGGAGAGGAGGAAGTGGATGAATAATGTACACCAACCTCGATTCGTCGCGCCCGATCTGCTCCGAAAACGCAGTTCCATCCACATTTAATGGTCGTTGTTGACCTTCCTCCAAGAAATCTTTAACAAGTCTTGTTAAACAATTTATTGTTCTAGAATAAGATAAATTGCCCTTCATCCTGTTACTCGAAAGATTGCTAAAGATCGGTATTCCGACGATAGGCTCAATAATTTCAACTTCGACGGCAAAATTACATAAACAGCAAGACGAGTATACGCGTGATTCAGTTGCGTCTCGAGTGTGAAGGTGGTGTAGGGAGTTCTCATAGTTAGTGGCGCACGTTCCCTGCCCATCGTTCATCGCATCAAGGTTTTCGTTTGAAGTGGTGAGCTTGAATCGCTTGTGGCACGATATGCATATAATCCCAACGACATTTTCACTCCCATCTTCGAGCACCGGGGATGAATAAAATTTGTGTGTATGATTTTTTTCTGGATGACGTGTCAACGCCATAAGCCAGGCAGGCGGGGTTTTCGCGCAACCGGAAAACTCGGTAGGACGAGGAGGAAGAGCAGGTCTGGAATCTGTAAAAAGAGAAAAAAAAATATATATATATAAATGTGAATTCAGTCGATCCTCGGCGAAAAGAACGGTGACATTTGACGGTGGAATACAAGATCTAACCTTGCTGAATGGCCATTTCAAACTCGCTGAACTTTTTGACAAATATTCGATGATCGTTAATATAATGGTAGGTATATCGCTAATAACAAGTCAGTAAAGATATGAGAGACAAGGTTAGAGTTGATCTAGAGAACGTTAGATTAAAATTTAATATCAACTATATACTTAAACAATCTTCGCTCAACTAAAAGGCGATGATTTTTGCAAAACACCGGTCGCTAATTATTTTTCCACTTACGTAAGTTAAAAAAAGTAAAAGCACATTTGCTCGGGCACTATACAATTTATTTTATCTCTTGATTCCAATTCTCATTGTTTATTATTATTTTTTTTTTTTTTGACGTAAGCCCGTTCGGATAAACTGACCGATCTGCGTTATGGTGTTATGGTAGTTTCTTGTTAAGCATTTTATCACGTGATAGAAGCAATAATCATTTAAGTCAGATTAGACTGGTAAAATATATTTATTTTGTTTATAGACTACTTAATACAAAAAAAAATCTTCTATCAGGTTAATCATGTATTCTTTATAAACATAATGTAGGTTATATTGGTTATAGTGTTATTAAAGCTAAATCATTAATTAATCTACATATCTTAGTTTGTTATCAAACTTTAAATACAACTTTGAAAATAATTTGTTATTTCATTTATAGTTTAAATTACTGTAAACATTATTGCCTGCAATTTACTACTGCAAATCACTAATCAAATTTTTATTTAAATATTTTTTTTCTATTATCTTTTTTTATTTTTTATACTCTTAATCCTTATTATATAAAACTTTATAAATCTCTTTATTTTATCTTTTTAAAAAATTTCTTGAATTTTTTCTTTTATTATTATTTGATTATATTCTTATTTAAACTTTTTTCTAAAGTAATTAAAATTTCTTTTTAATAATAAAATATTTATTTTTTAACTATAATCTTAATCTTTTTTTTTTTTTTTTGCATTCTAATTACTTAATTTCTATTAATGGATTTCTTTTAACTAGTTTTATATTAAAACTGTTTATATTTTAATTTTTCTTAAATACTTTTTTATAAGTTTTATTGTTTATTTTTTTATATTTACAGGTTTTTCTTTGTTTTATGAAATTTTTAATATATTACATTTATTTTTCTTAATTAAGTTTCTTTAACTATATTTTTATAAATTGATATTTTATAAAATATTTTATTGAAGAAATAAACTTAAAAACTTTTTTATAAATGCTAATCATTATTTTCAAAAAGTATTTTTTCAAAACTTTATGTTTTAAAATAATAAAACTTCAAAATGTTTTTTAAAAATACTTGTTTTACTTAACAGTAGTTATACAGTATTTTATACTTTTTATTTGTTTTTTTTCTATTTAAAAATTTTTTATTTAAGAAGTTATCAATAAAAAAGCTTTTCTAGAAAAAAAAATTAAATAAAAAAGTTCACATCTTTTTTTTTTATAGAGATCTCAAGTTTAAAAAGAAATATGAATCAATAACTTTATATAAATTTAATAGATTGATCTCTATATAGAAAGAAATAGTTTCTTTATAAGCATATAATACTTTTTTCTTAATTTTTAAATAAATTTTATTTACACTAGATTGATCTTGAATTTTATATTATATTAGATTTTGAATGAATTGATTGATCAAAATTTGAAATTGTTTGTTTATAATTAATAGAAATATAAATAAGAATATATATAATATAAATATATTTTTTGAATTCTATAAAAACTTTAAGTTTATTATTAGTCATGTAATCTAATTATACAAGTAAATAAATATACTGTAAACTATGATCTT